GCCCCCGGCCCCCCGCCGCCGCCGCCGCCGCCGCCGCCGCCGCCGCCCGCGACGTGCCGCGCGCTCCAGTCCAGGAACTCCCCCACCAGCCGAGCTGCAACCTCGCGCAGAGCCCCGCTCGACGCCGCGGCACTCATGTCGCCGCCGCCGCCGCCGCCGGCCGCGTCAGGGGCGCCGGGCGGGGCAGCGGTGGCGGCGCCGCCGTCGCGGCCGCCGCAGAGGGCTGACATCAGCGCTTCTAAAAGCGCCATCGCCTCGGCCCCCTCCCGCTTGTTGGAGCTGGGGGTTGCGGGGGAAATGTTTGAAAGCCAGTTGACGGATGTTACGGCTGGGGCGGCGTGCGTGCATGCGCACGTTCAGGTTGTGAGGTGTGAGTGCATGCGTTTTGCGGCGCAGGCGCTCTGGCGTTAGGGGGGCAGCTTCGCTTCTTCCCCACCATGAGGAAGCTTCTCCCCTGTAACAGAGCGCCGTGCATTGAATGCGGTCGGCTTTGAAACATGTTTGTCTTTGTCGAAGACGCGCGCCGCGGCGGGCCGCGCCCAGCACCCAGCGCAGGAGTGCGACCGGCCGGGGGCCGCCCCTCCGCGCGACCCAGCACGGCGCTGCCCTTTTGTGCAGAGAGCGCTGGCGGGGCTGGCCGCGCGTGCGCAAAGACCAGGGCCCGCGGGCTGCGGCCCCCCACCTCCGACCGCGAACAATCCCCGGCTGCGTCAGAACATTGCATCACGCCATGCTGGTCTAAAGGATCCCTGGAACATCAGCACAAAATTGTTTGTCATGCGCAAATGCCCCACATGCCGCCCTGCCCCGCCCGGCCCCCCGCCCCACGCCCCCCGCCCAAGCCTGATGCCCCCCATCCGCGCCCCCACAACGCTGCAGGCGTCCCCTCCATGCTCCCCCCGTGACGTCATTACCTCGTCATCCAGTGCACGAGTGACGTGATCAGGGGGCCGAACAGCTGGCGGCCCAGGGGGTCGTGGCCCGCGGCCAGGGACAGCATTACTGGGTACAGCCTAGGGGTTGGGGGGGATTGAGGATTATTCGGTTGGTGGGGTTGGTGTGGGGCGGGGCGGGGTTGGTGGTGGCTTGTGTGTGCATGTGTGTGCATGTGTGTGTGTGTGTGTGTGTGCGTGCGTGCGTGCGTGCGTGCGTGCGTGCGTGCGTGCGTGCGTGTGTGCGCGCGTGCGTGTGTGTCTGCATGCGCGTGCCCCAGGCTACCCAGCTTGGTACAGAGAGGCAGACCCAGCAAGGGAGGGCAGGCATGGAGGGGGCGCGGGCGCGGTCGGCTGCGGAGTGTCGGGCTGTGGAGCGAGTTTCTGACGCTACTGCAGCCCGCTACGCCCGACCGGCGCCACGGGGGACACGCCAGGGGTTGCCAACAACGCCCCAAGTCCAGCCCCGTTGGTAGATTGGCGGCCGGGGGCGAACGCGTGGCGACCGATTCGATGCCGCGTCTGCGTATGACCCTGCTACCCGACTCAAACCCTACCCGTGATCGTGAAAGCGCTGCGCAAACCCCAGGACAGCGGGCGTTTTGAGTGTGTCGGTGCCGCCACAGCCACCATGCACGCTAGCCATTGACTGGCATGTGATTCCCTGAGAGCCGCCCTTTTGGCCCAACGAGCGCTTCGTGACGTACATCTGCATGCAGCCAGTTCTGAACACAAACAGCGACCAACAGGCGCCTGAAGCGCCCAGCTGGCGGCGGCCTGCCGGTGTCCACAGGCCCGCAACCTCGGAATCGTCAAACCCCACCTGCCGAGGATGCGGCTGAACCTCGTCGGCTTGGCGGCCGCCTCCTCCTCGCCGCCAGGCCCCTCGGCCGCGATGATGCGGTGCGCGTTCTTGCCTGGGGTTTGGGGGGTGAAGGGGGGAGGAGGATCGAGGTGTTTTCAAGCCGCACAGTCCCAGTGGGGTGGCTGTGTCGAGGGGATTGCGGCAGTGTTTCCCCACTGATATGTCGCAGCGTTTGTTGTTGGGGGGATTTCGTGCGTTCAAGGAGGGAGATATGAGTCGGAGAGGATGAGCGGGGATCTCCTGCGCGCGGGATGTGCGCCGCGACGCATGACTGGGCGCATGCACTTGCGACTGCTGTCCTCAGAACCGGCGCCACGCCCTCCGCAGGCGGCCGCCGGCCGAGTGGCAGAGCATACGAGGGCAGCAGGGGGAGGGGGGCGGCGTCGGCGCCGGCCGTCCCCTTGCAACACCAGGGAGGCTTGAAAAGCGGCCCCGCCAGCAGGCACCCGGTTGTCTATGCTTCGCGCCCACCTATCATCCAGAGGGTGAGGCCGTGCAGCAGCTCGCAGGCCGCCACCCGCGACGCGCGGTGCGGGTCCGACGTGGCGGCCGCCGCCACGCGGGGCAGGAGGTCGTCCAGCCAGATCTGTGGGGTGGGGTGGGGG